CGCATGTTTTTTTATGGTGTTAAAACATGCCAGAGCCACATGGGCGTTGCTGAACATCAAAGTCAATGGGGTGTGAAAGTGTGTAACATGGTCAGACATTTAGTACACACATCACATACTGTGAAATGGGTAGTTAATACTAGTTCCTTCCTTCAACACATTAGGGGATAGTTCACCCAAAAATGAAAATGATGTCATAATTTAGGCTACTCATCTTCAAGTTGTACCAAAGCTGAATTTCTTTCTTCTGTTGAACACAAAAGAAGATATTTTGAAGAATGTTGTTAATCAAACAGTTGATGGACCCCATTGACCTCCATTGTATGAAAAATGGAAGTCACTCACTATGGAAGTCAATGGGGTCCAAAAACTGTTTGGTTACCCACATTCTTCAAAATATCGTCTTTTGTGTTCAGCAGGAGAAAGAAACTCATTGATGAACAACTTGAGGGTGAGTAAATAATCACAACATTTTTGGATGAACTGTCCCTTTAAGGCACATGCATAATATATTATCACTTTCCAGTTCGAAAGCACAATCAACATCTGTGGTATCTGTCTCATGAGACTAACAGCAGATTCTCCAACTAGAAAGTGTTTTGGAACGTAAGAGTAAATTTGCTGATAGACCATCTTGGACCAGCAACAAATCAGTTGCATGTTCCAAAACACAGACCAGCAAGCATAGCTGTCATTTCACCCTCTAGATTAACTGTAGACCCGATATTGTCCGGATATGAGTAACCCACTTCTAGCCAAAATAACCTTGAATTTGGTAACATGTCGTTTTTGCCAAAATAACTTGCGAGATGAGTGATATTTCATAATGTATAAGCAAAGTCAACAGTGATTACAAGGTGTTTGTTTTAATTTCTTTGACTGACTAGTCTATTCTTGTGCTATGGTTAGACGTCTATTAAATCTGACTTTCACTGACAGCACAAATTTGCCTTGTTTTAGCCTAGACGTCAGGGTTGTGTTTGGACGGCTATTAGACGTCTATTAAATGCCTTTTACCATGGTTAACATAGTTTAGCCAAAATGGCATCTACAAATAACCTATAGCAAACATGGAACGTTCTCAGAACTTTGCAAGGTTCTCTCAAAGTTATGAGCACGTTCTTCCAGTAACGAGAATGTTCGTTCAAAGTTCATTGTACGTTTTTTTTCTCCAGAAGTTAGTTGGACGTTTGTCTTATTTTATAAATGTTACTAATGAAATGTTCAAAGAACACCCCATGACGTTTTCATAACTCAATGGGAACGTTAGCAAAACGTTCTAGAACATATTTTTGTTAGCTGGGAAATCTGTGGTAACTTGACATATTAGCCATTGCTGTAATGAGAAAGAAAGAAAGAAAGAAAGAAAGAAAGAAAGAAAGAAAGAAAGAAAGAAAGAAAGAAAGAAAGAAAGAAAGAAAGAAAGAAAGAAAGATCTGGTTGTGAAATTTTGGTTATTGTATTTGTGCATCATATCGGCACAAACAAACACAAGCCTTATTTGGACGAAATGTTTACGGAAATCGTTTTTCTAAGACACTTTTGTCCTACCTTGAACACATCTCCATATGTCCCGCTGCCTATGCGGTGTATCAGCTCATAGTCATCGAGCGGATCCGTGTGCGATACGCCGATCGCGTCCATAGCAGCGCGGCATTGGATTCGTTTTCTCACGGTACTGAATCAGCGGATGATACTCATCCAAATGCCACAAACACCACTTCCTCAACATCCGCGTAACAAGTGCACTAGAGTGAACATGGCAGCGATGACAAACGCATCTCTCTGTCTGTCTGCACGCTGAAGACAGGGGGCGTTCACACAAGACGCGTTCACAAGAGCGCAAGTGCGCAACAGGATGGCGCAGAACGCCTGCTTTTGAACAGGTTATAATAAACCAAATTAAACAATATGGATCATTCTGATCTGCTTGCTTTAAATGAATTTAGAAAACAAAAACCAAAAAATGCACATATGAGTCACTTCACCTTTTTTTTTTACATAGTGTTCATATTTGTGAGATTGTAGGCTATAGATTTGTACTCATTGTAGGCTATATGGTTTAAAAAAAATTGCTCGCTAGAAGAAAAATATCGCTCATCGTTCTTTTTAGAGATATGTTCACCCAAAAAAGAGAATTCTGAAAAAGAGAAAAAAAAAAATGTCATAATTTACTCACCCTCATGTTGTTCCAAACTTGTATGAATTTCTTTCTTCTACTGAACACAAAATACATTTTCTATAGGTCTACTATGGAAATCAATGGGGCCCATTAACTGCTTGATTACCCATATTCTTCAAAATACCTTTGTGTTCAGCAGAATAAAAAAAAAATCATACAGTTTTGGAACAACGTGGGGCTGAGTAAATGATGACAGAATTTTCGGTAGCACTTTATTTTACAGTCCTGTTCCCCATGTAGGCTACATACTATAGGCCTAGTAGGCAATTACTCTCTAAACTACCCAGCCAACATGTGGGGCCCATATGGGTATGAAATGGGCTGAAAAATGGGCTTGTAGGATTGTCCGCGGGTTTCATAATGGCCCCATGTTAATTATGAATTTCATGTAGGATTGCACTATAGGTGGGACCCAAGTGGGCAACAAGACCCATCTCGGTCCCAGCTTTAACCCAGTCGACATTTGGGGCCCATGTGGGTTTGAAATGGGCTGAAAAATGGGCTCTGTATGGGATTGTCCACGGGTTCCATAATGGCCTCATGTTAATTGCCCAGATGGATTTCATATAGACTAGGATTGCACTTGGTAGGCTACTAGGTGGGACCCTAAGTGGGCAACATGCACAAGACCCATCTCGGTCGCCAGCTTAATAACCGCGGGTTGGGCCTACTAACCCTGGCCTGAACCTACCCCTAAACCTAACCTTATTTATCCAGTATTTCTTAGGTAGGCTACGCTGTAAATACACGTAAGTGCACGTACCCTACTGTAAAATAAAGTGCCATCGAATTTTAATTTTTGGACGACCTATCCCTTTAAAACGCAACGCAGTAAAAAATAATCTAAACGCGACGCGACGGTAACGCTAAAAAACGTCGTTACGCAGCGAGTTTAGATTAAACGTTTAAATTAAGTTTGACTTAAACACAAAGGCCAAAAAGGACTTCTACTTTTAGTTTTTCATTTGGCTGTAATAGCCTATTAGTTAGGCATATATTATGCTTAATCTTACTATATCCATTTATTTAGACAAATCTTTGACATAAAAAACAAGCGTAGCCTACATTTACATCATCAGCAAGCAACCTAATGGACGACAATTAGGTGATTTATGGCAACAGTATTACGTTATAGTAGATATCAAATAATGTAATTTCTAACAAAATACTAATAACTTGAGTGTTGTTTGAAGTTTGAAGCAGATTAGTGCGCGAGTGCCACCTACAGGCGATGAGTATTCGTGAGACTTGATCATAGACAGTATCAGAGAATGTGCGGATGCTTTGAGAACGCACGTCCTGCTCCATCTTTGCGTGAATAGGCCTACATGATGGCACAGGAATTAAAGAAATAAAGTTGGGAAAATTACTATTTTTAATGTTTTTTAAATAAGTCTCTTATGCTCATCAAGCCTGCATTTATTTGATCAAATATTATCAATATTATATTGTGAAATATTATTACAATTATTATAAACCCTATTATTACAATTTAAAATATAGGTTTTCTATTTTAATATATAGCCTACTATAAAATATAATTTATTCCCGTGATAGTAAAGCTGAATTTTCAGCATCATTTTGTCCAGTCTTCAGTGTCACATGATCCTTCAGAAATCATTCAAATATTCTGATTTATTATCCATGTTGGAAACAGTTGTGCTGCGTAATGTTATTTTATAAACTGTGATACTTTTTTTCAGGATTCTTTGATGAATAAAAAGTTAAAAAAGAACAACATTTATTTAAAAAAAAAAATCTTTTATAACAATAATATACACTACAGTTCAGTAATTTTTAAAAGAAATTAATACTTTTATTCAGCAAAGTCGTTTTAAATTGATAAAAAGGATTTATATTTTTAGAAAAGATTTCTATTTTGAATAAATTCACCAATGAATCCTGAAAAAAATAGCCTACCACAGGTTCCAAAAAAATATTAAGTTGTTAACTGTTTGTTAACTGTTTCCAACATTGATATAATAACCAAGTATCAAGCATCATATTAGAAATAGAATGATTTCTGAAGGATCATGTGACACTGAATCACAAAATGAATTAAAAATAGAAAAATAGAAAACCATAGGCTTATTTTAAATTGTAAATAATATTTCTGATTACAGATTTTTTTCTTCTGTAGTTTTGATCAAATAAATGCAGGGTTGATGAGTTATTTCAAAAACAATAAAAATAGTAATGTTACCAAACTTTTGACAGGTACTGTAGGCTATAAGATATTTCGAAGAATATGGGTAACCAACAGACATTAACAGTTGATGGGCATCATTGACTCCCATAGTATTTTTTCCTCCATACTATGGAAGTCAATTGTAACCGTCAACTGGTTACCCTTCTTCAAAATATCTTCTTTTGTGTTCAGCAGAAGTAAGAAACTCATAGTTTGGAACAACATGATGAGGCTGAGTAGCCTAAATGATGACAGCATTTTCATTTTGGGGTGAACTATCCCTTTAAGTGGTGAAAAATATAAAAGCTGAGTCTAAACACATCAGCGAATATTATATTACCGTGTGCTGATGTTGAGAATGCAAATATTTGAGAAGGCAAATTTACGGCTCTTTGGCTCATGAATATTAATTAAGTCACGAAGCTTCAAGAAGATTACGTAGAACGTCAATGATTAATTAACATTCATAACTTTGTCGGATCCGTAGAGATGGTACTGGACAGTAGCAGCCTACTCTGTATTCATCTGGAAACTCTCGCGGAAGACTCAGATTCGATTTCTGCACTCGATCCAATTCCTCCCTTCTCTTCTTAGCAATTTCTTGTCTAATCTCTACTGCATTTGTGAAGAAAAATATTCGTTATAGTCAAGCCTACGCCATAGTAGAATTGGTGTAAGTAAGCGCCCTCTAGTGGCCAAGCCTCGGTATTCAGAGTTGCGCATGCGCAGAGGAAACTCAAACGGTGTGTGTAATGGCTGCCTGATGGAGTAAGTGAATTTAGATGCTTCTTCTCTTCTGCTTGTAATTTGACCGTAGCAAACGGAGAACGCCTAACAAGACGTTTGAGCTACAATGGTTTATATTCACCCAGGGGCGCAGCCCAAGACGAAATCTAACCGCGTGAAGTGATTAAACAACATGTAAGTCTATTTATATTATAATTATCGTAGCATTTGTAAGGGGATAACGGACACAGTTCTGTAATGCTGTTAGCTGAGCAGATAGTAATTATTAAATGCTACATACTAAACTCATTCCCTTCAAAAAACGATACTCGCTAATGTTTTAAGACCTTTGAATCGGTTAAGTTATATATAAAGTTGAACGAATCACTAGCATTAAGAATATATCCTTTAGTTAGCGCAAACTCGCTACAGCCAATGAAAGTCATTCATTAGTGTTCAGGTTTACGTTTAAACACGTACTCTGACGTATTATCAGTGTAATATTTAGTTTATATAAGGTTTATCTATTCAGTGTTTCGCCAGCGTTTTTGTTTTTTTATATTTTGAACTGTGTGACTGTTGATGTGTCGGGGTTACTAGAGTTCAGACACGTTTAACACGTCAGGCGTAACTATAACTAGTCCACGTGAGTTTAAAGATGCGAAATTCAACACTATTTTCTCTTTACAGCACAATTAATTTACTATATTGTTGACTAAAGCAGCGTGTTATGTAAGTGTAGTGGATGTTCCATCTTGTGGTAATAAGAGAGAAGTAGGTGTGTCGTTCCTTCCACTTACTAAAAGTACCTTGTATTACCATGGTTTCGTAAAGAACCGTATTATTATCAATGTTGAAATTGTTTTTGTTGCTTATTATCATTATTATTTTATTTATTTTTGAAACAGTGATACATTTTTCAGGTTTCTTTTATGATTTGAAATTTTAATGAACAGCATTTATTTGAAATAGAAATCTTTTGTAAAATTATAAATGGCTTTGTATTTTTTTATCAATTTAAAACGGCCTTTCTAAATAAAAGTATTAATTTCTCTCTCTCTCTCTCTCTCTCTCTCTCTCTCTCTCTCTCTCTCTCTCTCTCTCTCTCTCTCTCTCTCTCTCTCTCTCTCTCTCTCTCTCTCTCTCTCTCTTTAACCCACACTTTTAAATAGTAGTTTATCACAGTTTCCACAAAAATATTAAGCAGCACAACAGTTTTCAGCATTGATAATAGTAAGAAATGTTTCTTGAACATCAAATCCGCATATTTGAATGATTTCTGAAGGGTCATGTGACACTGAAGACTGGAGTAATGATGCTGAAAATTCAGCTTTGACATCACAGGAATAAATTACATTTTGAAATATTTTAAAATAGGAAACAGCCGTTTTAAATTGTAATAAACTTTCTCAATATTGCTGTTGACTGTATTTTTGATCAAATAAATACAGCCTTGGTGAGCATAAGATACTTTAAAAAAAAAAACTAATTTATTTGATCAAACTTAGGTTTATGAACGTTTAGCTTCATATTTCAATCAGAATTTGTTTATATGCATATCTTCCTGACTGAGTTGCTCTCGTGATTAGTGCTGCCACTAACGACTAATTTTCTAACGACTAATCTTTCGACTAATTTTTCGATTAGTCGACTAATCTAAACGACTAATTAAAAAAAAAATCAAGTGTTTATTTCGTTGTCTCCATTTTATTTTGAACTCAACTGAAGGGCCAAAACATAAAATGTCACCTGTTCAAAAACATTATGTATTAACAATCTAAGCATTAAGTATCTGCATTTCCATTAGGCTATGCCATATTAGTCAGAGTCCTAATCTAATCCTCTAATAACAAACATGTATGTATTACTTAAATTAGCTCTTTGTTCTGCCTTAAAAAATGTACAGTAAGCTAATAATGATTAATTTATGTACATTTCTGAAAAGCATAACTGATAACATCACTCTGAATAGTAAAGTAGATCCAATGCATTTTCTGTGAAAAGCGCTATACAAAAAAATTGGAATTGAATTGAAAGAGTCTAGCCCACTATGAGTCGCGCTGAAAGCAGGCAGGCACGCAGTTATGTAGCTCGCGTTTACACTTGCGTGCATGGCGGGCCCGTGCCGCGGTTCGCGTGAATGTGAAAGCAACACGGACTCGGGAGCGCTTGTTCAGGAAGTTAAGTAACCTGCCCATGCGTTTTAGCTGATTATGATGCATTTAGTTAAATAAAACACATGTAAGGGATGATAGTGTTGATGATTTACCTTGGATACGCGAGAGTTGAGTCTGCAGTGTATTCGCGCATTGCGTGTGCAATCAGGGCAACACATTTGGAAATCCACTGTCTCCTCAAAAGAGTCCGTTTGAAAAACACAATATATTGACCCGCGTTCTGTTTTCTATCATGCGCCGTGCACGTTTGCGATGGCATAAGATGCACGCAAACTCAACAGGGTTCGATAGAATTGAGTGTGAAACCAGACCAACGCTGCGGAGGGCGCCGGGAACAATCGCGCTCGCGCTCGGACTCGGACCGCAGCAAACGAGCCCACTGTGAAAGCTCCGTCACCTGCCTCCGCAATTTCTCATATCAAAGCAGTGAAGGTGGGGGGGAACGTGAAGGAAAATGATAGCAGATAAACCAGCAGGGCGCGCACGGCGCACAGACTGGTGTGTGGAGGTGAATTACAGTGAGCCGTTTGTGACGGGAGACCAAAAATAAATAGCGGTCAATAGTAAAACGACACGTCGACTAAAAAAATTGCCGTCGACTAATTTGCATGGTCGATTACGTCGACTAAGTCGACTAATCGCGGCAGCACTACTCGTGATTAATGTCTTAAAAGCTATGTTTCTCTCTCAGTTGAAATTGAGGCCTGTTTGGTGCCCTGCTGGTCATGGCAATGAAGACCCGTGTGGAAGCGGTTCTGAACGTGGGTCTGCGGATCCCCAGCATCATGCTGCTAGAGGTCCTGTACCGATGGGACGTCAGCTCCTTCTTCCAGAAGATCCAGAGAAGCAGTCTCAACAATAACCCCCTCTTCCAGTACAAATATATAGCCCTGTACCTGCATTATGTCGGTATGTACACACAACAAGCAACCTCTCCCTGTCTATACAACAAACACTGAATGACATTGAACTGGAAATGCTGTTCGCAAGAACTTCTTCAAGACCTTATAGGCTACATTCACACTGTCAGTTTTTGGGATTGACAACCGTATTTACTTACAGGTGTGAGTCTCAAAATGTCCCGTTCACACAGCAACTTACAGTAGCGTCTCGAATACTGTCTGTATGAACGTGCAACGGGAGACAAGCCTGTTTACTCTTATCAGTAAACCAAAGCGACAGTGACCGAAGTAATATCAAAGATGGCGACATTCATAAAACCGAAAAGTCTTTTGACACGACAATCGAGTCGCGAGTTCATCCGTCAAGTCTTTTTACAACACAGTCAAAATGGATCTGTCACATCTAGACTTGGTGTGTGTGGGCAACCCATCATACCAATGCAGCAACACCTTCACGTCTTTTCTTCATAAAATGTAAAAATGCAATTTTAAAGTGTAGCTTCATGGCTAACTTTGTGGTAGTAATACTGATGTTCCACACACATTAATGTCGTGTGTGTGTGTGGGCGCGCTTGTTTTCCTGGCTGTGTGCTCTCTGTTGAGGAAAAGCAGAGCGCTAGTGCAGTGTTTGTACTCTGGCTCGAGTCCTCTTGTAATGGGCCGGTGGAAACGCAGAGTCAGGAGTTGGGAAGATTTTTATGATGGGGGAACGGTCTTGGTTGTTAGTCATTCAAGCAGTAATTAAACTATCGAACTGCAAGCTGTAATGAAGCTCCGTTCTGTGTCATGATGCCTGTTTTGTTTGTGTCAAAGAAAATGAGGAAAGAGATAAAAGTGGAGGAGACACAAATTACATAGTTTGATTTTTCTTTTCTTACTCTTGGAATAAAGAGTGTAGCTATGCAGTAATGTTGTCAAAATGCTGTAATTCACCACAATACCTTGAAATATTTTGTTATTTCATTCAGTAAAATTGGCAGAGCATTTAAGGCATCAAATTTAAACAGTTTTCTCAGGCCCGATAGCTCTGAGGGGGATTATGTAATATAATATATATATATACACTCACCGGCCACTTTATTAGGTACCCCATGCTAGTAACGGGTTGGACCCCCTTTTGCCTTCAGAACTGCCTCAATTCTTCGTGGCATAGATTCAACAAGGTGCTGGAAGCATTCCTCAGGGAGTTTGGTCCATATTGACATGATGGCATCACACAGTTGCCGCAGATTTGTCGGCTGCACATCCATGATGCGAATCTCCCGTTCCACCACATCCCAAAGATGCTCTATTGGGTTGAGATCTGGTGACTGTGGAGGCCATTTTAGTACAGTGAACTCATTGTCATGTTCAAGAAACCAATTTGAAATGATTAGAGCTTTGTGACATGGTGGAAGGAGCCATCAGAGGATGGGTACATGGTGGCCATAAAGGGATGGACATGGTCAGAAACAATGCTCAGGTAGGCCGTGGCATTTAAACGATGCCCAATTGGCACTAAGGGGCCTAAAGTGTGCCAGGAAAACATCCCCCACACCATTACACCACCACCACCAGCCTGCACAGTGGTAACAAGGCATGATGGTTCCATGTTCTCATTCTGTTTACGCCAAATTCTGACTCTAACATCTGAATGTCTCAACAGAAATCGAGACTCATCAGACCAGGCAACATTTTTCCAGTCTTCAACTGTTCAATTTTGGTGAGCTCTTGCAAATTGTAGCCTCTTTTTCCTATTTGTAGTGGAGATGAGTGGTACCCGGTGGAGTCTTCTGCTGTTGTAGCCCATCCGCCTCAAGGTTGTGCGTGTTGTGGCTTCACAAATGCTTTGCTGCATACCTCGGTTGTAACGAGTGGTTAGTTCAGTCACTGTTGCCCTTCTATCAGCTCGAACCAGTCTGGCCATTCTCCTCTGACCTCTGGCATCAACAAGGCATTTCCGCCCACAGAACTGCCGCTCACTGGATGTTTTTTCTTTTTCGGGCCATTCTTTGTAAACCCTAGAGATGGTTGTGCGTGAAAATCCCAGTAGATTAGCAGTTTCTGAAATACTCAGACCAGCCCTTCTGGCACCAACAATCATGCCACGTTCAAAGTCACTCAAATCACCTTTCTTCCCCATACTGATGCTCGGTTTGAACTGCAGGAGATTGTCTTGACCATGTCTACATGCCTAAATGCACTGAGTTGCCGCCATGTGATTGGCTGCTTAGAAATTAAGTGTTAACGAGCAGTTGGACAGGTGTACCTAATAAAGTGGCCGGTGAGTGTGTATATATATATATATATATATATAATAGAATGTAAAATTATATTTATAATTATAACAATTGTAATACAGCGTTGTAATGCAATTTTTAATTTTTTATTTCAGAAGTACATCAAATAATTTACACTACAGTACTAAAATTACAATAATTATGTCTAAATTTCTTCACTCTCAAGAGCTTTTGTGTTAATGGTAAACATCAGGGAGACCTTTAGGTTTCTGTGACAACAGGTTTACAAATGCTTTGTTTTAATTACAAATATTGTATTCTTGTATTGTTTCACATGCTCATGTTGAGAACAACAAGAATATTCACATGTTTGGGTGAAAGTTGGCTCCTTAGTCTGATTAAAAATAAGGCCCACAGCAGAGAACACATGCTCCGCCGAAACAGATGTTGCAGGGACATAAAGATAATGGTGTGCTAAACGAAGTTTTTTACAGCGCTTTGTGTTTCTGTTCTTCAAACAGTCTCCCTTGACTAAACGTAAAGGAAGTTTTCTCACGCGTGCATCTTTAAATTAAATAGTGTGTGATCATGTATATCGGCCAGCCTGATCTGTAAACTTTTGGCATCATCAATAAAAAAAAAAATCTAGATCTGTCAGCCACTACTTGTTAGTTAGCTAGAAAAATAACTCTGGAGAGCAGCATTTTGCATTATATCACACATTCATTATATTTTTACCTATTAATGATGTCTTATTTAATGTTGAGTAAATCTGCCTTGAAAACAAGTTATGACAGCCACCGTTTAAATGGTTTCATGAATTGAGTAGGTGAGCAGAAACATATTGTACACTCGGTCATGTGTTGTAGCAGGCGTCATGTCCAGCAGCAGTTTCATCTGTAATGAAATGAATGAATTGTTGAACGCTTAATAGTACATTCTGGTGTCTGATTTTATCCAGCGGCCTGTTGTTGACTTTGCATTGCAAATACAGTTTTGACTACTCCATTTATCCAGCACCCTATCTCCTGAGTGTGCAAACTGCTAAAAATCCAGTGGCAAGGATGTGAGTTCCTTTTATTTAGGATGTAATTCTCTAATTAAAAACAAATGTCACTTAAACACTTATTTTCTGAGCTGCCTGGAAGTAAAGAGGCATGCAATGAGATTATTGAGCTTATGTCAAAGGCCAGCTCTGTGTTAGTTTATTGTTCTTCAGTGTTGTTAGTTAAGTGGAAACCTTAAAGGTTTTTCACACCGAAAGTGCATTTTAATGTGACTACCATCGACATGATGCCACACTTCCACCATCTGATACAGTTTGATACAGAATGTTTGCTTAAAACCAACTACACAGTGTCTCTGTGACCTCCAGCTAAAAAAGCTGTCAGTATGATCCAGTTCAGAACAGTTGCACACATATCTCTAGCACACCTTTCTCTGTCTCCTCACTGTCCCTGTCTTTGCGTGACCTGTGTTGGACACTTGATCCAGCCGAGCAGGTTTCAGTGATGCTGATTTGTGCCTCGTAGACTCGACACACACGACGTAACGCTAAATAACCGCAGAAACTAAAGAGGCGTGCATCTGCATTCATCCCTTGGCAAATATTGGCACGTTTTGTCTTTAAACCTATTGTGAAGAACCTACCAGTGTGTAGAGTATTTATTTTTTATTTTATGCAAATAATGTAATTTTTTTTTATTTATATATAATATTTTAATATGAACAATTTTATGATGACATTTCATTATTATAATAATTATAACGGTTTCTTGTAGAGTTTTGGTCAGTCTGATTTATAACTGGCTACCCAAAAATGGGGAATTGCTATGCTTATTTTTTTCAATTGCTAATTCATACCCAAGTAAACAATTGCATAATCGTTCTGTGGTAGGTGAAGTCAATATAGAGAGAACAGCTGCTTCCAACACACACACACACACCTATAAACGAATGTCGCAGAGCTAGACTAGCATTCTCACACTGCACTTTCTGGAGTGATTTAAGCAGCAGCAAATGCTTCATAGATGATCCCTTGCAAGCTAGATGCTCACCCAGCTGTCCAATGCAGTATATTAGATTTCTCCCTGTTTGAATCGGCTGGATTCTCTCTGCATATTTGGTGCAGCGGACATAAACAACCACAAGAAGGACAATTGTTTGCTAGCCGGACACAAATTAGGTTTTGCTTTATGGTGGAATCTTTCCCAGAGCTGTTCATTCAGTTAAAGATATTTGCAGAAGAGAGCTGTTCCAGCGGAACGTGCTGGCCAGCCCTGGAGATGAACCGTCGTGGTGTTTGATGTAACTTCCTGTTGGCCTGAACAGTCTTTTAGGTTTAGTGTGGCTTACAGATACTGCTGACACTGTTAAACAGGCAGGGTTGAAGACACTGCTACTGCAATAAAGATCTCACCACCACCAGTGTCATCGACCCTTTACTTGACCCTAATGTTTTATTCCTGGTTTATAGCTATAGGCGACTCTTTTTTTTGTGCGAGTTGAACACTGCTGTTTAATCCCATGGGATTTAAATGAAATCAATAGCTTTTCTTTTGCTGTAACAGTATCCTTAAGCGTTTTCAGTCAGCATTGTAAGTAAAAACCAGAGCTGTATCCCACTGTTTTAGGTATTCTGTTTCACAATCACCAGCGTTAGCAAGTTCATTTGGTTAATATCTCATAACACAGATGTAGTCTTGTATTGTAATATAGCAAATGCTCACATTTGAACAATACTTTTACAAAATGTAAGTGTCATACAACTGTCCTAATATAATGAAGCAAAAAAAACAAAAAACATTTAAAAGAATGAAAAAGAAAATCTTAAGCATAATCCTTTAGTATTAAGATACGATATTAAGAAGTTGGGACGTTTTGTTAAATTATTTGTCTTTCATCTACCAAGTCTCTTAAAATATCAGATAATTTGACTTCAACTCAAGGTGAGATTAGTTCAGGTTGTAAAACCCAGGTTGTGTGTGGTGCAAATTCACAAAATAATGCTATTTATGGATTTATAATCCATGCTATTTGTAAAAAAAAAATGAAATAAAAAATCAAGGTAAAAGTGTTTAAAACTTTTGAGAATAAGTAAGATGTTTTTATAATGTTAATACTTTTTTAAATGATGGTCACACCACATTTTAGTCATTAAAGGCACAAGATTGTAAGATTTTTAGATTAAAATATCCAAAAACCACTAGAACAATTTTGTTGACTTGTGTACTTACATTATCCCAAACGTTTCCAACAATGTTTAAATCCAGAGAAATCAGCAGTTTAAACCAGGACATGGACCATGTCATTGTGTCATCTGTCAATGACATCGTATTTTAAAATCATTTAGCAACACGAGTCATCCAGTTTTTATTTGTTATACTAATATCTATCTAGATTACTGCAGTGTGCAATAAGTGTCTCATACCAGCCACTGAGTGAACGCACAGAGTAATGTTATAACATAACTTTCAACACACTCAAATGTATTTAGTATGATTGCTTTAACCATGTAAAACAGCGATGCGTTACCCCACATATGCAACAAAAAGAGGCGAGCGGAAGTGGCCGACTGCATAATAAGCATAACTCGAGACCGGTGTGTATCGCAGGTATTTCACATTAGCATTCGCTCCAGCGGCCTCGTTCAGCTCCCAGGGCTCTCGGCCCGCCCTGCTTCATACCACAGTAACGTCAGTAAAAGATTAATACATTCGCTCATCCATGAACATGATTTCATAAATCCTGTCAGATTCCTTTCGGGTGTTGAGGTGAAGACCACAACTCCCATGAACAAGCTACGCCTTTGTTTTGAATAAGCGACCTCTAGCGGCGAAAATTACATGTTGTGCCTTTTAAATAAACCCTTTTTTTTTTTAAATGTTATAAGTTTTGCAAAACCATATGAAACCAACATGAGTACAAAGAGATATTTCTAACTTGTCATATGCTGCTACTTTTGTGGATGCTCTTATTTGTCATTGACTCTAATGGATATTTAAAATCAAACTACCTTAATTTTTGTATTTTGTTTTATTTAAGGAAAATAGCATAAGCACTTTTTTTTTAAAGTTTTTTTTTTAATCCAATACATATCTTTGTATCATTATTCGTGTCAGTAATTGAGACTCCCTTTTGTTCAGGTTACATCCTCAGCCTGGTGTTGTTGACTTTACCCCGGCAGCACCTGGTGCAGCTCTACCTCTACGTGCTCACAGCTCTCCTGCTCTTCGCTGGACACCAGCTTTCTAGGTCTGTGCTTACAGCAGTCTTCTGCATGACTGTGTACTTACTAACACAAGATGTGGAGAGGAGATGACTAGGGGTGGTTAATCTGTCTGATTTCCCGATTCGATTCGATTACGATTATTGAAGTCCCGATTCGATTACAGTCGATTTTCGATTATTAACGATTCTCGGTTAGTGATTATTTTGATTATTGATTCATCAAGTTGAACTAAACAATAACAAATAAATGAAAGGCTTATTTCCTTTAGGAAGTAGATCAGAATCAACATACTGTAGAAATTGGACAATTTTCTTCTTGAAAGACAAGGTGTTGTTCAGGTGGAGGAAGACTGCAGGTTGCAGTCGAAACATGTCAAGGTAAAGAAAATGTTTTTTCTCCACCTGAACACCTTGTCTTTCTAGAAGAAAATTGTCCGATTTAATCATTAAGAAGACAAAATGAACATTTTTGAACAGCTTACTGTAGCTTCAGCTTATATACTGTACTGTAGAACACAGTGACAAAATGCAACACACTAACTAGACAGGCCTTTATAATTGAGTGATATGTTGTTCTTTGAGTGTAGGCCTAGAGTCTCTAATCTCTAAAAATCTCCAAATGCTCGACGTGAAACTGCGGTCTTCCGTCCGACCTTTTACTATCGTGTCAATTGATTTTGATATGCGCGAGGGAGAGAGATCGTGTTGTTTGAAGACGTGAGTGCGCGCGCGCGGCCGGGGCTCTCTCTCTCTCTCTCTCTGCTCGCGGCTGTCAAGCGCAGCGCAGCAGTCATTTTTTTTCTACATCACTCACCGATCAAAAAAGGCTTTGGCGGGACAAAAATGTGCTTTGGTGGCCATATGAAACGTGTCATATGGCTTCTCATATGTGTCGTGTTTTCCGAAATATTTTAGTTTTATTCCACAAAGCTTACAAATAGTGTGGCTCTTGTCCAGCTCCTTTCCCCCTTCAACTTCACAGAAGCCAAAATATTTCCACTCGTCAGCTTTTAACGAGGAGGGTGTTTGGATATCGCGCTCAGCTCAGTCATCGCGTCTCTGTTATGTGCACAACACAGACGGTCCGGGCACTGCACTTCCGCGCTTCAGAGTTCCGTCAATATATTACGTTATTATAAATATATATATATATATATATATTTTTTTTTTTTTGAAAATCGATTTTTGACATTTGCGAATCGATTCAGAATCATCCACGTCCGCATCGCGATGCATCTAAGAATCGATTTTTCCCCCCACCCCTAGAGATGACGCATTGCTTTTGAAATGTGCCCCATGTTGACAGTTCAAGTACACGCACTCACTTTAAATCTAGTTGCAATGTCACTTAGGGTGCTTTCACACCTGCCTCATTTAGTTCGGTTGAATCGCACTAGAGTTCGTTTTCCCCCTTGGTGCGGTTCGTTTGGGGAGGTGTGAATGCAGCAATCGCATTCTGGTGCGCACCAAAAGCGCACCAAACAAGCATACCGAGACCTCGAAGAGGTGGTCTCGGTACGCTTTCAAACGAACTCTGGAGCGGTTCGTTTGTGGTGAGAACGTGATCCGACCTCAAACAGACCCAACTGCCAAAGAACTGCGCATTTTTGGACTAAACTAGCTGCCGTAGTCAAACAAAATGATTATTTAGATTGTCAATAGCGCTCCCTTTAAGCCATGACTGGCTTACCGCGTTCTGCACTCTCACTAAGACTCTCATCATAAACACTGAAGTTGTCCGCACTGCACAGTGAATCTCTTATTTATATAGACTTTGTTGTTTATGAGGGGATTTGCGAAAGGATATGCTCGTGCTGATTCTGAACATATTGTGAGCGAATTTTCTGAAATATGTTCAAGACCCATCTGGCCAACGAGTGATGTGGATGTCGTCACGTGACTGCATTTTGGTTCGTTTCATCAACTGATTCTGACCAGAGCAATCAGTGTGGTGTGAAAAGGAACCAAAACGCCTGAAAATGATACAAAGTATAATTTTTCGCCCTTAGTCCGGACCAAATAACCGAACTACAGATGTGAAAGCACCCTTAGAACCAGTAAAATAGATTTTGACATGAATGCAACCATTTAGTACTTCTCATGATGACTGGTGTTCTTAATGACTGGTGTTCCTGCAGGGATTACGTGCGCGGAGAGCTGGAATCCGGTTTCGAGGGTTCCCTCTACTTGGAGCCCCTGTCTATGAACCGCTTTACCACAGCACTCATCGGTACTTCCTTTCATCAACTCCGAAACAACTCCATTTTGTTCTCTTCTTCACTGCTGTGTTTGTTCCTGAAGCGTTATTAGGCACGAGTACAACTGGTGTTGTATTACTGAACTTGGGTTCCCACCCCTGCTGTTAAAGAGACCTGACTGCTGAACTACAGCACAGAGTCTAAAAGAGAAGAAAGCAGATCTCAATGTGCTCAATTTGCAAATGAATAAGAGGCCCTGTGAAATGATTCCAGTTTTACTAATGAGGCATTTAGAAATGGAATGACATGCAACCAAACCTTTCCATGAAAAACTGCCATAAATACACTTCTAAAGGGATTTACTGCTTTAAAGGAAGTGAAACTTCCTCTCAATGTGGTAAAATCCTATACAATGTTGCCAAATCAGCTTCTATTAACATGGGTTCTAGAGAAGGCATATACAGATGAGGCAGAATATCAATTTAAAAGTTATCAATTTAAAAGATAAGCTCAAACGGGAGCAGCGCACAGAACAGAACAGAAATAGTCAAATGTGTTTCTGTTCAGTTTTTCAGACGTATAGGAAGTAATAGACGTCACAAAAACAGTACTTCTGTTAAGCAGGAGCTTCCACAGCAAAAACAAACAGTTCTACAGGGTTCCTGGAAATTACTATTTAAAATCCCCTGAAAACCTTGAAATATAAGGGAATTTAAAATTGTGATTTGTGGGCTTGGGAAATTGGAATTTCTATAACAGAATTAAATAGATTAGGAAGCTAAAATAGATTACATGTTTTTAAATGTTTTATCAGTAGAAATTTCTCTTTGCATGCACTATACGATTTTCTATACAATTTAAAAAATCCTGGAAAAGTCTCAAATATTCCATGAATGTAAAATTTGTAGTTATGCCAAGCTCTGAAGTATTTTACTGGGCAGAAGTTAGTTGTGATTTTTTATTTTTTTTATGTTTGGGCAAGACAGAAATAGTCATAAACATAATGCAAAGTCACAGAAATGTATATAATAGGTTTTCTTCTGAAATACTTATGAAATATTCTAAAGTAGTTTTAAAGGGATAGTTCGGCCAAAAATGATATTTAACACATGCATTACTCACCCTCAAGCCGTTCGAGATGCATATGTCAATCTTGTTTCAGACGAACACATTTTCAGTTATTTTAGAAAATGTCTTAGACCCTTCAGTGGATATAATGTGAAGCAATGGGGTCCACCTCCTTCAAGTCCCAAAATGTGCATATATCCTTCACAGAAGTAATCCATCCGGCTCCAGGGGGATAAACGAAGGCCTTCTGAGGGTAATCCGTGCGGGTTTGTCGTAAAAATATACATATTTAAAACTTTATAAATGAAAATATCTGACTTCCGGCAACGATCGACGCGCGTTCACGGGTGATGGAAGTCGGCGTACGAGGTATGACGTAGCGTAGGAACCGTCGTGACGTAGAACGAACGCGCCTGCACAGCCAGAGAGCAGAGCAAAACAAAACTACACTCAGTTCACCCGTGAACGCGCGTCGATTGTTGCCGGAAGTCAGATATTTTCATTTATAAAGTTTTAAATATGTATATTTTTACGACAAAACCACAAGGATTACCCTCAGAAGGCCTTCGTTTATCCCCCTGGAGCCGGATGGATTACTTCTGTGAAGGATATATGCACATTTTGGGACTTGAAAGAGGTGGACCCCATTGCTTCACATTATATCCACTGAAGGGTCTAAGACATTTTCTAAAATAACTGAAAATGTGTTCGTCTGAAACAAGATTGACATATGCATCTCGAACGGCTTGAGGGTGAGTAATGCATGTGTTAAATATCATTTTTGGCCGAACTATCCCTTTAAGCTGTAAAATATGTATGTAAAATACTTTTGTATGTAAACTACTTTTTAAAGAATCCTGGGAAAAGTCTTGTTGAAAAGATTGGGAGCGGAAGTCATGTTTATACAGATATTTACTTCTGTAAGAAGTATCCAAATATTAATCCTGTAAAAAAAAACTGTATTATATAGAATAGTTTTAATATGTTCAGCACAGTTCGCAAACACAGCTTTCCACATTTCACTTGAAATGAAGCACAATTTGAATGGAAAATCTTCATAGACAAAATCTGTAATCTTTGCTGGCCCAGCTAAATGAAGATCAGAGATAAAACAACTGTTGGCTTTGGCCCTTATGATTAGTCATGTCTAGTGACATGTCTTGTCAGTGGCACCACTGTACACAGAGCACACATATTGGCAACATCGCAAGAGAAACTCTTGGTAACGTCATTTGTAAATCAAGTCTATTGTGTGAACTGACTGCGTTACAGTGACTATTTGTGATGCAGCAAAGTAGCACAAAAAGATTCAAATCAAATTTAAAAGTCAAATTGAGTCTTTTATTTGCCATGTCAACACAGCAAAGCCAATTACATTGGAGGGACATTGAAAGCGGCATTTTAAAGGAAGCATTGAGGTGTGTTAGTGTGATTTGTCTCTGTACGTTTGTGTTTGTTCAGTAAGACTTTCCTCTCCCTCAGGTCAGGTTGTGGTGTGTACGCTGTGTTCCTGCGTCATGCAGACCAAACAGATCTGGCTGTTTTCTGCACACCTGCTCCCCCTAGTGGCTAGACTGTGCCTCGTGCCCCTGGAGACCATCGTCTTCATCAACCGCTTTGCTATGATCTTCACCGGTCTGGAGGTGCTCTACTTCATCGCCTCCAACCTGCTGGTGCCCTACAATCTGGCCAAAACTGCCTACAGAGAGCTGGTACAGGTACGACTGCAGGATTTTTCTCATGTGATCATATACTAAGAAACGGCATGTGATTGAGAAAAAGCATCGTGTTCAAAACGTTGAAAATAATTGTCCTAAAAATAAGTTTTCCACACAGCAGATGAAAATCATTTTTATGCTGACCAGGGCTGCATTGTGATCATAAATGCAGGAAAAAACTGTACTATTGTAAAATATTACAATTTCAAGTACAAATCTTGGAAAACCTGGAAATCCTGAAAAAATAAGGAACAATTTTTGCAGTCCTGGAAAACATGGAAAATTAGATAAAACATCAGTTGTTCTGGAATTTTTGTTCTTTGTTAAAAAATGCTTTTGTTCATTGAACAAACAGTTTGCAATTAGTCCAAAACTCTATTAGCAGAAAGCGATATGTTCTGAACTGCAGAGTTTGGACACGTGAGAGAAGTATTTAGAATTACGCTGTAACGTAGTGATGCTTTTTTGTGTTTGCTGTTGCACTTGCAGGAGCTAAAAATTAAGTGATTGAATGTTTGCAGCGAATGTAGGTACCTAAACTTATTAATATTTATTCTTGCAAACTAATGCTTTTGATACAGCGTATGTAATGGCTCAGCACAGCATGCATGACAGCATTAACCCAGGACAGGGTAGCAAATCAATATGTAAAACCTTATTTAGTTTCATGTTGAAACTTCTTGCATCCCCATGTCACATTGTTTTCCTTTCACATAGTCCCCCTAGTTTTTAGTTCTGAACGATATTAGAAGTCAAAATGAGTCGCTGACGCGATGCACAGTGAATCACACATTCAGCGATTCATTCACTCCTTGTACAGCACAGACTAGTGGGGTAAACATGAGGCTTAGGCAGAGACATTAGCTCAGTCCTGTTTGAAATTAGGACTGTGCTTTATGCATCGTCTATGGTAATATAATAGTAGGCTACCTTTATAAACTTAATAAAAGCATGATTACAAATGTGATATTGATTTTCTGCAACAGTTCACTAAACAAGTGACTTACATTTTAGACAAAATATTGTCTATTTCCCCAACAAAAACAAGGCCAGAGCAGAATGTTTCTTAGCAACACACAGTGGGGTTTTGTTTCTATAATATAATTGTAATATAATCTAATAATATTTGAAACCATTAAACTTATTGCATTATTTATGCAATTGTGAGATATCTTGTTTGTTTATATTATAATAATTTTTTGATTACTACTAGTGATTGTTTGGATAATTTTATGAAATAGTTTATAAATATAATATGAATGCGCTATAACATAATTTAAGATTCATATAGAAAGCGCGCTTTCCAAGTTATAAGACAGTGAATACCGTCTGAATAACTTCAACAATATATAGTCAATTACTTTCTTTCTCAACTGTCTATGTTCACTTGTGACATAACCGAATGTTTTCGACATTATTTTGTGTCTATTTGTCCTTTCAAAAGGCAAGATGAAGTGAAAATGTTTTATTTGGTTAAAGATGAGCCATGAATTATTAAATTGAAATATTTTCCAAAATATATGAAATATTTTTGTTTTATGAAAATGTGGAGCAAAATAAGGCTTTACAATGTAATTATGCTTTCGTAAATATTTCTTCTCAATTGTTCATTTTTATTTGAAATGTAAATTGTTGAGCTATTTCATCCTGCCTGCCAATCACTGAACGCTTGGTTTCCTGTGTTCTGCAGGTGGTGGAGGTGTATGGTCTGCTGGCTCTGGGCATGTCTCTGTGGAATCAGCTGGTTCTGCCTGTTCTCTTCATGTGCTTCTGGCTGGTGCTGTTCGCACTGCAGATATACACCTACTTCAGCACACGGGACCAGCCGCCCTCCCGAGAGAGGCTGCTCTTCCTGTTCCTCACCAGGTTTGACTGCTGCACCTCTGCACCATACAGTTCACCTACTTGATTGACACGTACACACTGGAAAGTTTCAGGAGTAACACCCTCTTTTTAAAATGGGAGTGTGTCTCCTGAATTATCGTTCTGTGTGTATAGTGAACACGACTCAATCCCGGAATCATGATGATTGACACAGTGGTAACCATAGCAACGTTCTGCCGTCTCGCGTGTTTGGTATTCACTATTTTTGACCAAATTCATATTACAGCGACAAAAGACTCGTTCTTAAATTTAAAGGAATAGTTTACCCAAAAATGAAAGTCCTGTGATTAATTACTCACCCTCTTGTCGTTCAAAACCTGTACGACTTTTGTTCATCTTCGGAACACAAATGAAGATCTTTTCGATGAAATCTGAGAGCTTTCGGTCCCTCCCTTCGGCTACACAACTGACACTTCAAAAAGTTCATAAAGAAATGGTAAAACTAATTTTAAATGAATTGAGCAGTTTAGTCCAAATTTTCTGAAGAGACTCGATTGCTTTATATGATGAACAGATTGTATTTAGGCTTTTATTCACATATAAACATTCATCAAATCACGCGTCAGTTGTGGTAAACGGAAGCTCAAGCATGTTCGCTTGACGTGCGAGAAACAATGAGGTTCATTCAGTTACGCAGCACGTTTGAGCTTCGAGGTTTGACCAATGAGGTTTGTTCTCGTGCTTCAAGCAGGTTCGGTTGATTTTCTGTTTATGTTCACTAATCAATGTTTAAATGTGAATAAAAGCCTAAATTCAATCTGTTCATCATATAAAGCGAACTAAACCACTCAATTCATATGGATTCGTTTTATTATCTTTTTAATTAACTTTTTGAAGCGTCAAAGTGGTAGTTGCATAGCTGTCAATGAAGGGACAGAGATCTCAGATTTCATCAAAAAGATCTTCATTTGTGGTCTAAAGATGAACAAAAGAATGAATTTTGTTTTTGGGCTTGTTTGAACTTGGATCATAAAGCGGTCAGGTTTATGGAGTTATTAATGTGGGCAGGTGCGGGTCATGATAATTTGGTCTTGTTTTCAAAATAAAGCATTTGGATTTATTTAGATTTATCATAGGTGTGTTATTGTTTGTTGTTTTTAGCAAGATCTGGCAACGCGAATGAGTCAAGGCTCATACCTCTTTCCTTGTGGTTTTCTTCCACTGCGCATACAGAAGAGCGTTGATTCACGCGTTTAATTGCGTTATTAACAACTAGTTGCTCAGTTTGGTTCCGTATGTACAATTATTCTAATTCCGGTTGTCACTATCTGCATTTTTTTGAGAGTGGGGGATTGTTCAAGGGATTGTTCACTCAAAAACATTTTCTTCTGTTGAATATTTTAAAGAATCTTGGTTACCTGCCAGTTGACAGGAGCCATTGACTTTCATACTATTTTTTTTTTGTTTGATTACCAACATTCTTTAAAATAACTTTTGTGTTCAACAGTAGAAAGAAACTCATACAGGTTTGAAACAACTTGAGGGTAAGTGATGACTACGTTTTTGGTGAACAATCCCTTTAATTTGGTTGTGTATTAACAACTGACATTAGCTACGGTGTGGAGTCACACTTGATGGAACTCTCTGCATTTAACCAGCACAAACGTTACCGTCTGCACATAACCCTGAATGCATTGCAACAAAGATTTAGAACAGCACCTTTATCATAAACTAAACTGGATACTAGGGCAGTAGAAGACTAAAACACCATTCAACAATATCTAGCACATGTGAATGTTTAGTTTGTGGTTGTGCGTGTTCTCTGCAGTATCGCTGAGTGCTGTAGTACTCCTTACTCACTGTTGGGGCTGGTCTTCACGGTTTCTTTTGTGGCGCTGGGCGTCCTCACTCTCTGCAAGTTCTACCTGCAGGGTTACAGAGCTTTCATGAATGACAACGCCATGCACAGGTGAGAAACATCCAACCAAATTAGGCTTTCGATACTCCTTTTCAAAACATGACATTTTTGCAGACATGTATATAGATTACTGTGCATCCAGTGATGCCTTTCTCTTCTGGTTTTCAGAGGCATGACGGAGGGGATCACTCTACTGATCTTGGCTGTTCAGACTGGTCTCATTGAGCTCCAGGTCATTCACAGAGCTTTCCTCCTCAGCATCATCCTCTTCATCGTGGTGGCCTCCATCCTGCAGTCCATGCTGGAGATTGCTGACCCCATAGTTTTAGCACTGGGGGCCTCCAGAGACAAGTAAGAGCCCCAACACCTCTTGCCTGACATCATGCCTGAACAGAATTAAGGGTGCTCCTATTACCGGTAGATAACAGCTTTATATAGAGAGCTAATCAGATGACGCAAAACTCGATAATATAAAGATTTATTAAAACCGCATTAAGCCCTGAAAGAGATACTGTTCCCCATGCGGCTTTCTGTGCTCCGAGACGGAGTGGAACACGGACAAGCAAAGTGATCTTTGAGCTTCGGGTTCGTGCCTAAACGGTTAAATACACGCAGAAATATGTCAAAATGCTCAGCTTGGTGAGTATACGCTTAAATAGGGATGGGAATTGATAAGAATTTAACGATTCCGATTCCATTATCGATATTGCTTATTGATTCGATTCCTTATTGATTCTCTTATCGATTCTCATTGGGTGAGGGAATAAGTACAAATTGTTTATTTGTATTAACTCGCTTTAATATCTGATCAGAAGACACAGCACAGAGTATTAGGGGTGTGAACCTACACTGGTCTCACATTAAGAAAATTAAGTCTGTAAAATAAATTTTGATTAAAAAAAAATTTAATTTAAAAGCAGTGCTCATTCATCAGTGTATAATGTTACACGTGTTGCTGTGTGGCCAAATGTTTCTGCATATTGGAGGTAGTTCCCCCCCTTTGACGAAATGGAAATTTTACACGTGTTGCAAGTGACCGTATTATTAGGCGAGTGTGTGTGCGCTCGTGTCTCATATGAGTATTATATGTGCGTGGAGAGTTTGTGTGCGCGCGCGTCTCATATATGTGCGTGGAGAGTTTGTGTGCGCGCGTGCGTCTCATATGAGTTTGTGTGTGGAGAGTTTGTGTGTGTGTGTGTGTGTGCGCGCGCGTCTCAAATGAGTTTGTGTGTGGAGAGTTTGTGTGTGTGTGTGTGTGTGCGCGCGCGTCTCATATGAGTATGTGCCTGGAGTGAGAGTTCCGTGCATCTCGTGTGTGTGGAGTTTGCGTGTACAGTATGTGCGTGAGCGACTTTAGGTGTGTCATTGTGCATTTCATATGTATTTGTTTGAGCATTTAGCAGTATACATGTATGTTTGACTACGTAGTATATGTGTATGCAAGTCTTTCATATATGTGTGCGTGAATGAAGTTTGAATTTAGCTCTAGACGGCGCCTCATATATATTGTCGTCTTTTCGCGTGAAATATAACCAAACTGTAGAGCGCTTCTGCCTCGATGCCATATGTTTGCTGCGTTCTGAACCAAAACAACGCAGCGCGTGTGTGACGTCATGACACATTTGCAACGAGCGGAACCGATAAGCGGAATCGTTAAGCAGGCATGATAACGGTTCCAAGGAATTGGTTCACTGGGCACCGGTTCTGAAGAAGGCTAATAAAAGCTATTATTCTCAATATCGGCCATCAGCAGATTGTTTAAAAACAGCCGATTATCAGGGCCAATTATATCCTCTCAATCAAAAAGGTTGCAGAAAAACGTGTCCGACTGCAACTCGCACTGTGTGTGAAGAAAATCTCTCGTGTTGAATTTAGGGCAAGTTAATGCGACAATAACGCATTAACATCTAAAAACAGCTACATAAAAGCAGGCACTATTTGACCTTATGAATCACCCGTAGTTCAAGTCAGGGTTGGCAGGTCTGCCTATTTGTTGCGCGCCGGATGAGAAGCACAGCGCCAGCTAGGACTAATGTAAATGTAAATACTGACTTCACCCTATGCTGCAAGAGACATTTAGTTTTACATTCATAGTTTTACAGCGTGAATAAAGTCTAAGTGTATATAGGAAAAATGTATAGGCCTAATAAACGTAGCCTTTTATAATCTTTCATTTTGCTCCGTTGTGTCCATACACTAACCTGAGTGTGAAAATATATGCATTTGCCAGCCGTAATTACATTCACTGTCGTGTGCTGCCACCTACTGGAGGTACCAGGTCACAACACACTTACTTCAATAAAAGGATGACTAAAAACTCAATGAAGTAGGGAAATACCGTTAATTATGCCACGAACTGCAGAATCTTTAAAGACAAAATACGGAAATCAGCATGGAGGAAGATTGCTGATGTATTTGGGTTTTCAGGTGAGATTCTTAATTCAGTTAACGCAAGCCCTGAGGTAAAATGTCTAGTATCTGAGGACAGCAACAATTGTGTTTAATAGTACAGCTTACAGTCATTACATTACATCCAGTACTGACTAGGGCTGCAACAAACGATTATTTTGATAATCGATTAATCTAACGATTATTAGAACGATTAATCGACTAATCGTCGATTATTTCGCAGACTAATCAGTAAGTTTGGAACGATTATTCAGCTTTTCCAATTAGTTAAAACATTGAGTTATACATATTCTAACTATAATATAAAAAAAGAAAATCACTTCAGCTTTTGAAATAGTTGTTTTAATTAACTTTGAGCCAACTAAACAGGTCATTCTCTCTAAGTTTTCAGATTTCGGTCCAACTCAAATCACACACAAATGCTCTCTAAGCATTGTTTAGGCCCACTGCTTTTCTTAGAACTGAAACAGAAAAAGGGACATTTACTTCAGGACACAAAGAATGGTAAAATATTAATCTGCAAACAATTATTATAATTATAAAATTACAATCTTTTTTTACATGACAATTGAGCTGACAGAGACGTTCTCATTCCCTTTTAATTTATAGTATGATAAAGTAACTGCCGTGATATTCTTCCTATATCATAGGAAGGACATAACATCTCGTTTTGTAAGTCTTCATGATTATTGAACAAAATACAGGCAAGTGATAAGACTATAATAATACCTAATATACTAATAGTGTTACAATAATAAAAACAGCCCTGACTCCTAAGCTCGATCAAGCTTTATTCTATACAAAATAAGTCATCACATTACTGTAATTATATTACTATTGATAATATTATTACTATTATTAGTAGTATTGCATTCTCTAATAAAGAGAGATTTGCCGCTGGTGGTTAGTTAGCTCCAGCTGGAGAACACTCACTTCTCACCGGCTCCTCTTTTGCCGGGATGTTTCCTCTTGCACCCCAACATTGCACACGACAGCATTCTTGATTTGAAGTTTTGTGAAACTTTCCCAAACCTAAACCTTGCTAGTTCGGATTCGTTTGCACTGTCATAATTCGCGCTGTTTTCTCTTCTACCGCAATAGCATTTGCAAGGGCTGCACTACACTAGCGCTACAGCGCCGTAGCGTTCAAATCGCGGGATTGCAGGCCCTTACATTAGGTCACGTGAGATCAAACGACTACTCGACAACAAAGATATTTGGCGACAAATTTTTATTGTCGACGTTGTCGACAACGTCGACTAATCGTTGCAGCCCTAGTACTGACCATATCTCAATTTCATAATGTCCTTAAACGTAACAATATTGTTGACTACAAACTAATAATAAAATGTGCTAGAGCCTTTCTCAGCACTTGTATACACAGTGATGGGAACAACAACGATGCCCTCGGTTTTACCGATTCAATTCGAGTCCTGAGTCCTCATCCTTTGGAAGTGCATGCAAAGTGGATTTGCTTTGGCAGCGCAGAAAATAGCATCTTCTCGACATGTCCACAACATGAACCAAACTGCAGTGTTTGAGGGCAGGTCAAAGTACACGTTGTTCGCAAACAGCTATATAACACACTACATAAAAGGTAATAATAGGACCGAAAAAGCATAATAGGAGCACTTTAACAAGAAGAAGGTTTTAAACAAATGGGCTGGTCAACCATTACAGAATTGACCTAGCTTTCAAGAAAAATCTTGAGACCGTATGAAAAAAAAAAACAGGAAATGTTAAGAGATACTCAGTGTAGTTCTCAATGCACGTTTTTGTTTCTTTTTTAAATTGCAGTGCGCATGTTTTTTATTCTAAAACATGTTGTTTTTATAAGGATTTTACTCGGGGAAATAAAATCTTCTCGAGTACTTGCTTGGGGGTATGTCTGAGGACCTGTATCTTGAGCTTTTCTTGTTTCTTCTGTTCTCACAGGAGTCTGTGGAAGCACTTCCGAGCAGTGAGCCTGTGTCTTTTCCTGCTGATCTTCCCTGCTTATATGGCTTACATGATCTGCCAGTTCTTCCGCATGGACTTCTGGCTGCTCATAATCATCTCCTCCAGCATTCTCACGTCACTGCAGGTACACACTCCTCACACACAGCACGCGTATAAATAAACACTTTATCACAGCGCTTTTTGTTCGTAGATCAAGTGCTGTAGTAGTATGTTGAATTTCTTTTATTTTTATGGAGAGACATTTTTGCTGTTTCGGTAAATTATTACATTTTTTTTTTTTTCTTGAATATTTCGCACAATGAAGGAAGGGATTTAAGAATGGAAAAAACGAAATAATGCGAAATATTTATGTATTTATAGGGCTCGACATTACCACTTGTCCGGGACAAGTGGATATTTTGAAGGGGCAAGTGAAAGAGAATTTTACTTACCCAACCGGACAAGTAGCCTGATTAAAACTTAAGTGATAAAAAATAACTAGGGAAGCATCGAAACGCAAGAGTGATTCTGATTTTATTACATTCCGTGTAAACAGCGATTCATAATGGATATTGTGTTTCTGGTCTCGCTGTTGAGGCTCGCGCTGCCTGTCTCTTTGTGAGAGACTTTCGTAGAGAAGTCAAAACAAATGAGCAAAACAACAAGCATAAGAAACTCACAGAACAAAAGGTACAAATTTCAAATGTTGGTACTGCCCTGTAAGCAACATAACACGACCAAGGGAGCTGTTTTGCCGAATATTATCACGATGGCAAATGTTACATTCATTTTATAGTTCAAATCAACAAGTAGTTAATATTAAATTACTTATATTTTAGACACTATTGACTGTTGTTCTATTTCACCAATGAAAAAGATCACAGCAGAAGAACTATTGCGTTCGGCAGTGTTTTGTTACTGAATGATACAGCGTTTTGAATGAATGATTACTCATTAAGTGACTTGCCGCCACCTACTAGCAGTTTTATGTTTAGAAGTATGCATACTTCTAAAGTATGCATACCCCCCCCCCCCATTTCTTATTGGTATATTAAAAAATGTACAAAAACAATCTCATGCCATAGTTTATTGCAGTTGTAATTTTGCAGTGTAAATAATTTAATTTGACTGGTAAGAGCCCCATAGTCTTATTATTATAATTAACTTTATTGTAAGAATTTGACATTTTAAAAAAGGTTAAAAAAGAATTGGCTCTCATAAAGGTAAATAACAGCCCTGGGGTAATTATCAAAAATATGCAGATTTAAGTATGTAAAAGCTGATAGAACACTGATTAAAATATTGCTTCAGAATAAATCGTTTGTTTGACTTTTTTTCTCAGGACAAGGACAAGCACATGACAAGGCTTAATGTCGAGCCCTGAATCGCGATTGAGGTTTTTTTTTGTTTTGTTTTTTAATTGAGAACAAGCAAAATACAAGCGAGAAAACATAAATACAACAGAACAAAAATGCAAAGGCCGATACAGTATGAATTGAGTTCTTTTTTGTGTCTTATCGCCCTTGAATGGTTTAAAAGCACTTGAATGAATGATTGATTGGCTGATCATAGAATAGGCATACATGCAGACCATCCTCGGTCGGCCGCTCTCTCGCACATCGCCAGGGCTGGTGAGTGGAACCCAGATAGCGTGACCATATACTGCAGGGGTCGGCAACACTGGCATGCGGAGGGGTAATTGCTGGCATGTGAGCAAAAGCGAGAGAGGTGTATGCATTTCATTCATATAAAGTACCTCGCACCTGCACACAGATCTACATTTTGAGGTAATCATTCCTCAGAACACAGCTTGTTTTATTAAAGGGGACATAACACACGCAGTTTCTGCCAATCTCATGTTAATCTTGAGTACCTATAGAGTAATGCTGCATCCTTCGTATCTCCGAAGAGTCTTTAGTTTAATCAGATTTATAAAAGACAGATACGCTGTACCGAGTCTTTCCTGGAGGTGTGCTGTGCAGCGCTGCCGACGACTCCCCGAACTTGCACGTTGACGGGCGCGCTCTTGCTTTGGCTCTGGTTGATGTGTGCACACGCTCTTGCACATACAAGGAATTTCGCCCTTTATGACGTCATACAGGGACCGTGTATTTGGCACAGAAATACTCCGTCATACGTCCCAACCAATGTTCCCTCTAATTTTTTTTCTTGCTGAGCAAAACTTTTTTCTATTGGGTGGACATTTTTCGCCACCTGAGCAAAAATATTCTTTATACCTGACCTGTACAGCATACGCAGAAACACAATGGTTTCAACATTCAGTTGTAACTTTTACCTTGAATGTGCCATTTCTATTTCATTTGACCCTTGATGTAACTTATTGGTATCAAATCATATTTTCGAAAAACAAGCTTCTTAACAAATTAAGAAGTCACTAAATGAAGCACATTTTAGGTTACCTGATATTTTTTTTACAGTGCTGTTAACTGTACAGTCTTTACCAAGAAATCCTATGAAAAATAATTTACAAAATCTTCTGCAGGACAGTTCAATTCTTTACAATAATAGAATATAGTATGAAAGAAAAGTAAGCTGTTACACTGAGATGGTTTTGGAAAACCATAAAGTGTTTTTGTACAGTCAATTAATTGTGTACAGGAAGCATTAAACCATCAAAGTTAAATGATTGTTTATTGCTTATGAATTTCCAATATTTTCTTTAGCAGGGGGTTTCAAACGTTTTAATGGCAAGGAGCCCTAAACAATACCCTTGTGAGATTCTTTATTTAGGCTTATAATATAATAAAATATAGGCCTAATATAACCTAAACAATACCCTTGTGAGATTCTTTATTTAGGATTATAATATAATAAAATATAGGCATAATATAATATAAAAAAAACGAATTGAAGTATTTGAAGTGATATAATATATCAGTTTAAATGCTTAAATTTGTTTACATATTATATTATTATTATAATATGAAAACAAAGCCTTTAAATAGATCTAATAGCCAAATATTTTCAAGAAAAGTGAATGTGAACTCTTTTATAATCTAACCATCCCTGAAACTCCCCCACACACAAAAACATCTATTTAAACTAATGATGTATTTTTGCACGCGGGTGGGTGTGTAATTGTTACCGTTCTGTGTCCATCAACCATTATTTACACCACTTTAATCAAACCACTCTTCTTTAAAACATTATGATGTGATATTATTTCACATGTCTTTGCGTTTCTCGTTGCCTCTCGTATTGAGCTATCCGGTCCGCACACACGACTCACTGCCAATCACACGCGCTCACATCGTTCTCTTTCTATGAAAACTGTAAACTGCATTCACCAGTTTTCTCTCTATAGTGGTTGACCAGAGCACTGCAATTATTTCTCACTTAAACTACAATCAAATGGATTTCCCCACATGTTTCGCGTCAGTCCCCTGCGTGTCATTTTACTCTTTTCTGCGCGGCCGCCGCTTATAAGTGCGCGGCCACGCACGTGCGCAGCTTAGACGGAACATTGGTCCCAACTCGGGTTTTTTATTTATTTATTTATTTACTTTGGCCATGTTTAGCATCATAATCCAACTCTTTAACAGCGTAATTAAGTCAGAATGCATGAAATAGCATTAGACATTCCCTTTAAGTTAGGAGTTATAAATACTATTAAAGTGAGTATTAAACTGTGCAAGTCATTGAAAGCGCACAGCTCTGACAAGCCATCAAGTTATTGACTGGCAGCTTACAGCTTGTTTCACTGTACATAGTTAAAGGCTATACATTTCGTAGATATTCAATCAAGTATATTAAGTTCTATTAAACATTCCACACACATCAGAATGACTGATGCATGCATACCCGGTCACTTCATGTGCTTACCGGTACTCTGATCGGATCGCTATCCAATCGTGAAAAGACCAGGGGTAAATGAGAGGGTAAATGCTTTTTCCAAGAGAGAGGGCTTTTTTTTTTTTTTGCATTGAAGGTGAAACTGGACAAAATTCATCTGGTTGTAAATGGAACCGTTTTAACAAAACTGATTGCTATCCGATGAGTAAAAAAGCTTGAAATGACCAGGTGAAAATAGGCCCATTGGAAATCTGTTCTTCAAAGTCTTAATTTAAACCTGAAACAAACTAATGATGATTTTGACACATTTAGAACTCTTTTTTTTTTTAAAGTGCGTCAGAAATGTTAAAGGTTCTGCATTATTTCTTTGAGGGCCATTATGAATATTTAAAATATTCATATGGGAGTAGAGGGGGGAGGTGTCTGAAACTTAAAAATGGCACTTCATGACAAAGAGGTTGCCGACCCCTCGTATACTGTAACGCTACCCAAAGGAGGCCAAGAAGGGGAAAAACTGATGCTGGATAATTGTGTTAAATATTTTTGACAGCCCTAAAATAATTAATAATTATGTGTATTAAATAATGTATAATCTAGTAAAAAGGATTCCCCTCCTCTCAGGTTCTTGGCACCCTTCTGATCTACATCCTCTTCATGGTGGAGGAGTTTCGTAAGGCTCCGGTTGAGAACATGGATGAAGTCATCTACATCGTGAACGGGACCTACCGACTCCTGGAGTTCCTGGTGGCCGTGTGCGTGGTGGCCTACGGGGTTTCGGAGACCCTGTTTGGAGAATGGACTGTAATGGGCTCCACCATCATCCTGGTTCACTCCTACTATAACGTGTGGCTAAGGGCCCAGCTGGGCTGGCAGAGCTTCCTGTTGCGCAGAGATGCAGTTCACAAGATCCAGAACATGCCCACTGCTTCCACATTACAACTCCAGCAACATAATGACATCTGTTCGATCTGCTTTCAGGTAAAAGGGGGTGTTTAAATTGTGTTGGTTTTTTTTTTCTTTCTGTATTGATATTTAGCCCTAGTTGTTTGGAATTGATTCTTGAATCAATCGTTTCCATTTGAAACTGAATTGGCTCTCGCTATCCATTACTAATTTGTCAACAGGTTGATAATTTCTCTTCTTATCTTGGCCGCCTAGTTTTAAACATTGTTTCTTGCTTCCATCCTTAGGATATGAAGTCTGCTGTCATCACGCCTTGCAGCCACTTTTTTCATGCCGCCTGCTTAAAGAAGTGGCTGTACGTACAAGAGACATGTCCTCTGTGCCACGGGCAACTCAAAAGCCAATTACAGCCAATTAGCTCTCCAGGTGCCGCCGCCCAAGGCACTCCACCGGCCAATCAGAACCCAGCAGAGGTGGAGCAGGAGCAGAGTGATCCACAGATTGAGTTGGACACTGAGGAAGGCACCCAAGCAGAAAACACTCCCCTAATGATAACCTCAGCCGAGCCCGAAATTGAAATGGACTCGCTATCGGGGAGCTCCAAAGCCCAGCCCAAAGAATGTGACGTAGGGACAGATGGCAGCGCATGCCCAGCTGGTGGTTTGGAGGATGAGGATGATGGTTCATGCAGCACATCAGATGTCCAATCCTCTTCATGAGCAAATGACAGCGCTCAACTTATCAGCCTATTAGGTGTCGCCACACACACTTCATATTGCCAATGTTGAGGACTACATGGTTAAGGGGATAGTTCACCCCCGAAATAAAAGTCCTGTCATCATTTAATCACACGTAAACACTTTTTCAGTGGAACACAAAAGGAGATATTTAGAAGTTTGTTCTAGCTGCTCTTTTCCATGTAATGAACAGGAAACGAGGACTCCAAAAATGACAAAAAAACATCTCCATACAAGTAGTCTGTGAATCAAAGTTTTCTAAAGACTTACCAATACTTTGAGTAGGAAACAGACCAATATTAGGTTGTTTCTTAAAATGTACAAATGTGTATATCTTTATAGAGCTTTCATTCAATACATACATGCATATATATATACACACAGGTGAAACTCGAAAAATTAGAATATCGTGCAAAACTTCATTTATTTCAGTAATTCAACTTAAAAGGTGAAACTAATATATTATATAGTCGTTACATGCAAAGTGAGATATGTCGAGCCTTTATTTGTCATAATTTTGATGATTATGGCTTACAGCTATGAAAACCTTTTCACAATATTCTAATTTTGAATGTGGGGTTTTCATAAGCTGTAAGCCATAAGCATCACAATTATAACAAATAAAGGCTCAAAATATCCCACTTTGCATGTAACGAGTCTATATAATATATTAGTTTCTCCTTTTAAGTTGAATTACTGAAATAAATGAACTTTTGCACGATATTCTAATTTTTCGAGTTTCACCTGTATATGTGTGTGTGTGTGTGTGTAACGAAAGCTCCATGGAAAATCTGCTAAACTCCTGCCTTTGTGTTCCACAGTATGAATTTGAAATGGTATGAGTAAATGATGACTGAGTTTTAATTTTTGGACTCAACTGTTGCTTAAGACTGGTCACATGTCGCTCAGCTCACCGATGCATTTACTTACTTTTATATGATCTATTCACATTATTGCTGGTCGAACGGACATTTCAGAATACTGCCCTAAAGAGGCAAAACGATAAAACTGAGTTCCTACAGCGTTTTGACTTTGACGGGCAGGAAAGTCATCTCTATGGATGATTCATGATTCTACGCCATGCTATTTGGTCTGTTTAGATTATTAGAAATGAGATGTGTGTGTGTGTATAAATGTGTTTTGGAAGCGCACCCCAAAAGAGCCACTGTTGAATCCAGACCCCTGCAAAGTCAAACTGAGGAATGTTATTTAAAGTGCCATTGAGCCACTTCATCTTGTGTTTTATCACAGCGAGCCTCTCATTAGTCACCCCAGTTTTAAAGGGATGTACGAAGCCAGGAGGCTTTTTCATACATATTTTTGTCTCTCTTTGTCTTTGCCATGTGTCACAAATAATGTTAAACCATCAGTGCAGATAACGTTAAGTTGTCACTTTGGCAGTTGGCTTGATTCTTGGAAGCGAGCATTTTCGAAAGCATATTACAGTCTTTGGAGACTAAACCTGTTTTCTGGTTTTAATGAACGTTTAGTGAGTAGACAATCAATTAAAATGTTTTTTTTTGTTTTGTTTTTTAATACAGTGGATGTTCATTTTTCTTATATAATTCCCTTTATAATACAGTACCATCATGATATAAATATTTCAGTAATTTTAGTAGTTTTTTTTTTGTTTTTTTTTGTGACTTCTTGAAAGGTATGAAATTGATCTTAATATTGGCTGTTGACTTCCAGCAGCATTTCATCTCGTCATTTGAAAGCGGATTTAATTTTGCCATTCTTTTCTGTCAGAAACGCACTCCCTTTTGTTTGCCAGAGATGTCATGCCATACTATGTTTGCACTAATGTCCTTTAAAGAGAATAATCAATATTTTGCCTTGTTGGGCAACAAATGCTCTCGAAGCAGATGAAGTATAGCTCAATATAAATGTGTACATATATGGGCAGATATATTCCCTTGTATATTCTTTTATCATGTTTTTGATATGCCGCACAGTGTTAAAGCAACAGTGAACATGATGAAGTGTCTCGAGGAGCGTGTGAACACTCTAGAGTGGGATTGATGCTGAAGACGCTGATTGTTTTCCTGCTGTTCTTTAAGAGATGCATTTCTGAATGGAAGTTTGTGTGCATGAATACATATGATGTATGAGCAAACACAAATGGCATTCGACAAGTTCCGTCGACTAGTTTTTGCACAGTTTTCTTATATCTAAAATAAAATGGAAATGTAGAAAGAATGAAGTTGAGTGGGTTTTTTTAATTAATGTGTTTTTTTTTTTATGGGGTTTTATTTATTTTGAGATAGATTTTATCATCTTTATTTTTTTAGGAAGTTATTAAAGTATCACTAGTATCACTACTAAAGTATTCAGTATCAGTGTTAATGTAATTGAATGTCATTATTCAGTATCACTTTACAATAAGTTTCCATTTGTTAACATTAACGTGAAAGAACAATAAAAAAAATGATCTTTGTTAATATATTGAACATTTGCTAATACATTATTAAAATCAAAAGTTGTATCTGTTCATATTATTTAATGGACCTGTGCTGACATGAACTGACAATTACCTAACGTTAACAAAGTGTAATAAATACTAGAATTGTTAGTAATTGGATAATCTAATATGACCTTGTTGTATAGTGTAAGCCATTATTCAGTGATGATCGATCTCCATTGATTGAACTGGTCTGTTGTTGTTAGTGTGATGTTCATTTCGATCGCGCGATGGCGCTGCTGCATCACGTGTTCAGAGATTTACATGGCGCTTCGACGGCGCGCTTCAAATTTAATATTTGATTAAATGCTCTTTAACAACGGAGGAAAACAATTTAATACAGCTATATTAAAAATATTTGGCAATGAATTCGATAAAGAGTATTATGAACAAATGTCATATGCTTTGGGCATAAAGAATATAAATATAGGCTATAGGTTATTATAAACAATACACAGAAAACATCCAGAGACAAGACATGGGCATGAAATGTTGATGCTTTGATTAATAGGCTACATGTGTTTAAAAACAGTGTTATGAACATTAACAGTTATTCTTGCTTGTATACAGTACAGTGCCATTAGTTCTTTGTTTAATTTCATACATTGTTAGGAATCAGGATTATTAAAAAATATACTCTCCACTAATATTTATTTTTTATTTAATTATTGGTTTTAGTTAATATCCGCGAGAAGAGTATTAGGGTAACCTGATTCATTGACATCATGATTAAGTAGCTAAATCTCTTTTCCAGAAGGGATTTAAAAAAAAAAAAAAAAAACATCCTATGTAAGTTGCATGACTGTGTGCATCGTGGGAGAATGAGGGGACAAACTAAAAATACAGTGGCCCCAGGGGCAAGTGCACACGGCCGCATATCTGTCAGTCACAGCTATACAGCTTGGAAAAATAAAATGGTTACAGTGAGTGATGCTTTGCGCCGTGTGTGTGTGTGTGTGTGAGCGGAGAGGAGCGCGTTTTTTTTTTTTTTTGAATTTCATATAATTCCCCATACAATTAAATGTTTATTCATCAACTGTAATAGCCTATAGCTGTGAATTAATTTTTTTTTTTTTTTTTGGAATTTCGTTATTTCTCATTCTGAATTATTATTTGACCAAAACATATCCGTGCACCTGTTTCATTGCTAAGCAGAAAACGAATCGAATAGGATTTACATGTTTTTAAGAGCAGGTCAAGAGTATGTCCAAATTATTTTTAAGCTACAAATGCAATCTATTTAGTGGGCTATTTTTGTTTGTTTTTCATTTATATTGTGTTATCAAGCATTTTTTAAAAACATCTTCGTCTTCATGCGCGCGTGTATCAACCACATAAAAAGCATCTTTTATTTTTGTGCTCAGAATATTTTTCATATCAATCATATAATTTCTTCATGAGCAAATGAAGTATGTTTTCTCTTATCTCATTTTGGACAATAGACGTCAAAATTAAGAAAAAAAATCCAAGTGACAAGTAATCCCTTTATTATTTTAATTCTACTTGAATGAGAATAAGACATTGTAAAATCCAGGATCTGAATTTTATTGAATAATAGCTACATGGGCTATTTATTTGTAAAATCGTCCGTCAAATTCAAATGCTTTACAGCGTATATACACTTGAGACAGCATTCATTTGAAGAACCTCTACTGTAATGAACTCACTGAACCTCACTGTATTCTTCCCCGCAAAGACAAAACCTTCCTCTAACATCACGGTACAAAATTATATGATCAATAAGTTATGACAACATATGTTTTTACATTGCTTTAACTCATCAAAATAAGTCAAGCAATTTTCAACTTAAGTTATACAAGATTCAACTCATTTTTAAAGTCAGTTTAATGTAGATTAAGTTGAAATTACTTAAACATCAAAGTTGATTGTAGGCTAGCCTACTTAAAATTTTTAAAGCAGATTTTTTTTTTTTTTTTTTTACATATGGGCTTGTTTTTTGGGAACCAGTTCTTAATATTTTTAGGCTCTGCGTTAATGTTATTTTTAGATTTCAAAGTTAGTGCAGGATCTTATGGTTACACTGTACACTTTAGTAGATCATCACTGTGACTGCAGCGACAACTGTACCTCGCGTGCACTTATTCAACTGTGATGATGACATTCAATCTGCCCTTATTAACGGCTCTCTCAAGTATAGCTTCTGCGCGCGAATCCTTTACGCGCGAACAAGACACAAAGTGTTTTATTGTCAAGCCGGCAATTACAGCATCAAGAAGAAGATAACTATCGATCGATACAGGGCCGTTTTGCGCGAGGTTTGTAGCGTCTAGCTCCAATCAGCTTCTTTTGAATGCTTTAGTAATACCATCTGACAAACTGATGGAGTGGGTGGAGGAGAGAGAGAGAGAGAGAGAGAGAGAGAGAGAGAGAGAGAGAGAGAGAGAGAGAGAGAGACCGCCTCTCCCGGTCCCTCCTTCAAGCCTCTGGGCTCCTGCGCTCGTGTTTAGTTTCCTCTCATATAGTCAAAGGAAGGATTGATTCCTTTGGGAAGAGACACAAATCACTTCAATTTGATCAGGAGGGCTAAGGATACAGCCTGCTCTTGATTTACCCACTTTTTTGTTGTTGGTGTTGTTTCCCGACAAAAGAAACATCCGAAAAAGAAGACAAGAGGAGAAAAGTTGTTAGGTCATGATGACACTTGATATGAGATCTGCTTGATCGCACCAGGAAACGAAATCATCACCATCACAGAAAAGGCTTCTTTGCTTTTTGTCTCCACTTTGCGTCTTGGTGACACCGGGATCTGTCCTGG